GGATCACATCCACTCATCTCATGAGCTTTCCCTTTGGCCTCTGTCAAACAAGGTTCATTGCCATTTTAGGTTAAACTTTTCTGTCTAGTGAGTGCTTACCCATCATATTCGTGAACGCCAAGGTACTATGAGAGAGTCTTCCGTTTTAGGATAGGCCCCTCCCACATCGGTCTATGACGCCCCTATCATCTTATGAAACAATCCAACAGATCCAACAACAAAGGGATAGCCCAATTTTATGGTGCATCTCCTCATTACTGAAGGACCCATCTTCATGCTAATGATGGAAGGCCTTTAGAGAGTTCATTATATGAATCTCCCTATCACATGCACTCATATTTCAGTGGAGGGAATGAATTATTACGCCCTAATTTTATTTAGGTCAAACCAGAGTGGCTCCCACTGACTTTCTCAAAGACAGATTTAAATGGGCCCTAAACGGCTAGGGTTCCGCATGGTTCCTCTTCAGAGGAAGCTGATGTGGGGCCCACCATATGGGGAGATCATCCAATGATCTTATGGACACCATGGCAATGATGTGCATTCAGCCATGGTGTGCGAAAGAGCCACTATCGAAATAATCATGGGCCAAGTACTTATGGTCCATGTACGTAGCACATCACACATCCATACATCACATGCGTGAAACAAATTGATCCAATCAATTAAAATATCTGTAAAACCCTTAATTAATTAGATTAAATCAGTATCAGCCCAACAGAGCCCATAATGTTATCATATAACATTATCTAGGTACATGGGCTGTACTGCAAAAGGCAGTTCGGCCCATGTAGCTAAATCAGGGCTGATTCAGTTTTATCATATTAAAGTTAGGTTTTTATAGAGGTGGGCCGAATTAAAACTTCAAGTTGGCCATCAACCCTCTGGCCTAAATCGAATTAGGGTTAGAAAAGCCAACCCCATCGAACCAACAATTCGGTCCAACCAGTTTGGACCAAATCTGGTGTAAATCGGCCCAAGTTTTGGTGTTTAGTTCAAGATTTAATTCAAGAATGATGATCTGAAAATAAATTAATTCAAGATAATCAAATTATCAAGAAACTAAAATCAGAGGGCTGCACTGTGATTTTCTTGGATATCCTGCAAACCTGCAAAGAACAGTTAATCGCAGATTGCAGAATTGATATCTGCAAAATCGCAAATCGCAGAACTTGTTTCTGTGAAATCTTCTTCTCCTCTGTTGCACACTCCAGCAATCTCCAGATGGCAATAAAATAGAAAAACCTAATTTTTCTATTATTGCATCGCATCGAATTCCTATACAATTTGTCTAAAAAAAATTATTTATAGACCAAAATTGAATAGAAAAGAAATCGCAGGGTGCGCCAATCTTGGCACCAAAAAGATTCGATCTTCATCACATGTGTAGCCCAAAAATTCAAGAAACATTCACAGAACGATTCTATAAATATGACAGAATAATAAAGATTTATTTTCTAGATCATCCGCCAATAATCTAGGAACCAATTCCCAGAAAAAACGCTAACTACGCAAATCGGGTAGAACGCCTTCTGTCCATTTGCGTAGATTCAGATTTATTCTAATTTGGTTCAAGACTTGAACCTGGCTTTAATACCACTGTAGGGATGGGAGATCCATCATATGGATGGCCGAACCCTGTAGGAAGGTTGGGCAAAAATTTTCTTTACTCCCATCCGGGAATCCTATTCCCAATTTAGAAAACTGCATTTTCAAGGTTCGTTCTGGTAACCAAACCGGACCAAATCTGAAACCAAAATTAGGGAGGGATATACCTGATACGGAATCCACGCAAGAATGCTCCTCCCAACGTAGGTGTTCACGCCCAAAGAGTGTACCAAATCCTCCCTCCACTGAAGATGACACAGCTTAGGATGAGGCAAGATCAACAGGTAGTTCTTCACCAAGAACTTGTGATTCTTCAGCCTTCCTAATCGAATTAGGAGTTCCTTGATCCAAATCTTTATTTGGATATGGACTCTTTGAGTGGATAAGGATAATCCATTATCTTATCTGCTGATCCAAATCCCAGATCCGCCCCTATTTAATTAATCTAATTAACCTAGTTCGAAATGGGCTTTTAAGCCCCTTAAGCTTTCAGGCTCACTTCCTCTTTAATGTTGGCTAACTTGGTTCTCTTTGTATGGCGTGGGACCCTATCATTGATCTACACATCAGCCACATGGGTTCAGCCTAGCCCCTGTTACAAGGCTTGGCCGAATTCACTACTGAATATAGTGAACCCCTGAGTCCATCACTATGGGCTCTTAATGGGCCCAACATTTACACTAAATGGTCCCTGCGTCCAGCCATCTTATGAAGGCCGAAAGACTGTGGGCAGATGCAAGATTAGCCCATTAGGTATAACCCTCAATGGTCTTACACTTAACCTCTCAGCCCATAATGATCAAACACTGCCCGACAAGAGAGTCCATAATATATATA